ATATATACATGTGTATATACATGTACTTGCACAGTTGTGTGTATGTGTTACACTCATGTTGTTCCTACCTAGATGGCAGATTTTTGTCTGTTGGAGTATGTCTTTTTCTCTATAACATGCTCTTATTTTGCCCTATAGGACTCCTCTCTAGGTATTGGGTGTTCTATTTTTGGAGGTAATTTTTTTGACACATATCTGTCTGAATTTGCATGGACTTTATGATTTTACTCTGAATGGACATTTTTGTATTTATGTTTATGTGTATATTTTAACAATTTATGTATGGTATCTTTGTATGTGTGCATTCTTCAGGGAATATCTATTTGCACATTTTTTTATGTACTTTTTCATCTTTTACTTTCCCTTTTTTGTTTCCTTTTTTGACATAATGTTTTTATATGCTTTGCAACATTGTATTAGTAGGTGTAGCTCTGGGACTTGGGAATGCTGATTAGGGCAGGTGTTCTTTATTGATCAATGCCTATAAGAGACAGCACTTCTGATTCTCTCTTTGTTATGACTAAGCATGTGATTGTGTGAAAGCGTTAACAGCCATGCCTTTGTCCTGGTGCTTTTTGTGTCCTATGGATCAATAAATCATTTGCACATTTTTCATCATTCCTCCGATGTGCAGCCAACCCTTCTTACTATTTGCTCCTATGCAGTGAGACCAAGATTGCCCAAAGCCTCCTAGTATATGTGACATCAGTATCCCAGGGGGCCTCAGGCCAAAAGACAGATGGGTTTGTTGACATCATTCTCACCTAGGCAGGAAAGTAGGCAGTCCAGTTCTGGATCATACAGAATTCTTCTTTTCTTATTTATAAACAAGATACATGCAATTGTTACACAGTATGACCATATTGCAAAAGAAATCCTTGGATCTAAACTTCCACGTGGACATTTTGATGAGCATTTGTCTACAAGAGACTGACAGAATATCACACACTAGGGGTCAGTTTGTTACTGACATCTACAGCCCTGAAGTCAATCTCTTTTCTGCTTGGACAACATGAAATGTTCTGTAAGGCCCAGTTCACACCATAATTTCTGCCTTTTGGATGGGTTTCTGCATGCGTGGTTTTGATGATTTTTTTCCTCTTTTTTTTTTCTTCATCTCAATTCAGAACATGTGAGTTGCAGAGCATTTTTCATGCATTCTGGTGTGTCTTGCCACATTCTAGATGAGTTTCATACAGAAAAAATTAAGCATGTTCTACTTGTGTTTACTGTAATGGAATTTTGCACTGCAAACTAGAACTATTGAAATACTGTGCATGTGTTTTCGATGCAGATTAAAAATGCACTGAACGAAAATCTGGTGTGAACTAGCCCTAAAGTGGACCTATGCCCAAACTATGCATGCAAATGCATTTACATATCCTGAAAAAGCAGCAAAAGACAACACACAAGAGTTCATTCGCCTCTGTAGCTATAGTCATTGTGGAGAAATTCTTCTTCAAAGTTCATAATGGAGGCACTTGAAATCGTAGTTGTTTTTCTTTTACTTTTTATTGCACCAGAATACTGGCAGCCTGCCAGCTCTCTAATGTAAACACATAGCAGGTGTTTCTAAGCTGTTAAAGTGGTTCTGTAGGCAGAACATTTTTAACCATAATCTATTCCCTGCATTAAGGTAAAAAAATGTTCCAGTGGAAGCAACATCTTCTTACCTCCTCTTATACTTACACAAGTCATATCTCAATCCAGTGCTGTGCCTGTCTGCAGCTGGGCTGATCTCTCTCTCCTCATAGGATAAGGAGGCAGCAGTGGGAGCCATTGGCTCCTGCTGCTTTGAATCAAATCCTGTGTACCAGAGAGCTGGAGGTGGAGCTGAGCAAGTCCGCTGATGCGCCCCCATAGTACAGGGCTTTCTATTGTTGTGCACGGCGAATAAGAGGATGCCAGAGCACCGGCAGGGGACCCGGGAAGAGAAGGCTCAGGGACACTCTGTGCAGCACCACAGAGCAAGTAAGTATGAAATGTTAATTTTATTTTTTTTTAAACTGAGCCTTTACAAATGCTTTAAAGAATAATTCCAGGTATGGTATATTTTTATATATAGTTGCACTGGTCCACCTTGGATTATGTAACTGTATATATACCATAGCTAGGCAATGCCACTGGTAGCTGGAAATAACTGAAGAAAACACTGCTACTCCAGTGATCTCCATATGCTTTTCAGGTCCCATGCGTTTGCATTTTCTGAAAGAATCCTAAGCATTCCCTGATTGGATAAGGTGAAAGGCGTGACATCACCCCCTGGCATTTTCTTTTATCATTTTGATTCCATTTCAATTCAATTTTTCAATAAATTGCATTGAAGCAGTCAAATTATTAACCAATTTTTACTTTGAAACCTACCGAATTCTGGTGGTCGATCCAACCTGGAGATAGTAGACTACTTCGTTTCTGGAAATTACTTGTGATCTGTATTTGTGGTTCCCAGTAGTTTGAAGGTCAAAACTGAATGAAAATTGGCCAGCATTAGGCTGGAACACTTGGAGGATCGATTATATACTGTAGGTGCCTCTTCCTTGCCATTTTCTGACCACTAATCCAGAGAAGTCAGCTGCAGTTACTAGCACTGACCTGCCCAGGGAATGCAGGTCAACCAGTTCTTTTCAAGAATGTACACTTCTGTGATAAATAGGAACCAGAACCTCACCCTCAGGTTTCAGAGCACAGTGAAGAAGAGGCACCTATGTATCTGCCAAGTGTATGCTGGACCTTCCTTCTTCTGGGAACACTTGGGATTGTCACAGCTGATACACTTTCCTTTTGATCATTCCTACTGCATATCCCTGTGGTGGAGGAGGACAAGTGGTCATCTGGTATATTGGAAGGTCTCCTTCCGTCGGGAGGATCCTAACAGAGTGGATACTCCTCCCAGCAGTTCACAGGAGGCTAATCCATTTCAGGGGCTTGAGGAAGGAAAACACCCAAAAAGCACTTATGACCCAACTAAGCACAGGGGGCAATATATTGCGGTGAGTGAGGTTCTGGAAGGGGAGTACGAGTGACAGCATGGATCACAATTTATCTGCTAAGGTCACCGGCTATATCACCAAGTCACCATTGTATTTAAGTTGTGGAAGGTGTTGTGTAGTACCGGGACTTAATAAAGATGAACTGACACATATATTGAATTTTTGAGCATTGACCTTTTAAGGACATTTTCTATCACAATTTTACAGTGTGTTGCATTAGTGGAAGGTGTATTGTAGCCCCTCAAGCATTATTTTGGGTTATACACCTATATATTCACATATGATTTATGTTCTTTATCATGTGTTTTTTTTTATTCATTATAGAGTACTAGATAGGCATCCCCACTGAGGAGGGAGGTGCATTGTAGCACAATAACATGTTATTGATATTTACATTTACCTTTTAGAGATGTGACCGCACATTCACTCATTGAGGAGGGAGGTGTATTGTAGCATGTCACACAAACTCAATCACGTCTGTTTTCAGAGTGGGGTTCACATATATATTTATAATGGATATACTGTCAACTGAGTTCCATTTAGATCGCAGTGCAGATGACAGATCTCCCAATCACATTCACATTACCAAACCTACCACACAATGCTTTAAAGTGAATTGCTATATACCTACAATCTTCTGTTAACGTGTAAGCATGTTTTTATTGATTTGAATAAAGAAGTGCATTATGCTCTGAGAGTTTTTCTTTTAGGACTCTATCCTGGGATAGAGTTAGGAGCTTTAGGACTAGTTTTCTAGTTGTGTGTGGTTCAGCAGCCATGTACATTAAAGATACCTTCATCTACAGATATTCTCAGAAAGGTTAGTCCTTTTCTTTTTTGCTGTTTATTTGAACCAAAAATACAAAATGTTGCTTTTCCCAATATTTTGACACCAACATAAGAAAGCCATTGTGGCCACACATACAACATACATCTTCTGACGCTCAATCTTCAACAAATGCATTTCTCTGCCAATTTTGGTTGTGCAGCAAGCTCCATTGTCAGAATCAGACATCAGGTTTCCATATATATTGTCCGCCAAAATGCAGCAAAGTCCATAGTAAAATGTACATTTCCATTCTACATTTTTATCTGAAGATCTTTATATGTGTGCTCTGGTCCACAAAGGGCTGATGAACGGGAGAACTCAACAGGAATCACATGTTCTCTGCTCTCCAAGACGGAAAGATAAAACATTTCAAAGACCTGTCATGAGAGAGATATGGGCCTTACCATTGTCTGCCCTTTCCTAAAAATGCTAATTGCCTGGCTTTTATCCTGACCTGTTGACTTCACTTTATCAATCACTGACCTAGACGTATGTAGAGCAGAACAGTCAGAGAAAAAGTCAGTTCTCACCTGCACCCAGGGGCGTATTTACCAAGAGGCAATCAAGGCATTTGCCTTAAGTGCCATTTTTCAGGGGGGCGGTGCCGCCTCCCAGAAGAAGGGACACACATGAGGATGGGGACCCGGTGAGGCACTGCATGAGCCCTGCTCCACCACATGGGATCCAAATGAAGCTGCATGCTGCAGGAAGGTGGCAGAGCCTGACTGTCATGCCCGGGGATGTCCATATAACTGGTTGAGCTCCCCCAGGCTTTCCTGATCATGGCTCCAGCAATATCTAGCCTTGCAGGTGAGTGCTGTAAGAACTATCTCTCTCTCTCTCTCTCTCTCTCTCTCTCTCTCTCTCTCTCTCTCTCTCTCGTGTGCCTAGGGCAGCACAAAACCTAAATACACCACTGCCTGCACCCATTTTCAAGGTCAATAAATAAAAGTATGGAAGACTTAGGTCAGGATCACTGCCAGGAAACCAATAATTTCAGGAGAGGTCAGCATTGGCAGCCCCATATTTCTCTCATTTTGGGTTTACTGTAACCTATTAACAATTATATATTTTCATGGTTATTATTCACATTGTCATCCAGACTGCAGGGGCAAACTGTTGGTGAGACTGATTTTAGGAAATTTGTGCATCTCTAGCAATTGCATCCAGATAGGTCCACTTCAACGGAAGAAAGCCAGGCGCTCCCTTAGCCATTCCTCTGTAAGGTCGCTGGTGTTTCTAATTTCAAATACCTGCAATCAGCATAGCAAGAACATTCTATTTGTTAAAGCATATCTAGACTCAGGAACAAACATTTATGCCAGTCCTTAGATGTGCTGGCTGCATTTGATTTCTTTTTTTTTTCACACTTTTTTCTTTTATTTTAACCTGGTAATTCTGCCATTAACTCACTGACAACCGTACTGAACAGTGTTGTCACCCTAGCATAGGGAGTATGTGAGGACTACATAACATTGTGTTGGACTACATAACACCTTCCTCTTCATAGCGGGGATGGTGAATTTTTAGTCCACGTTGATAGCAGGGAACAATGCTAACTGATAACAGTCAAGAAGCAGAGAGTACAGGAAGTTATCAGCTCACAAGATTTCTGGCAGGATGAATAGCTATTTCTTTCTTTTTAGTGAAAAGAAACATTTACCATTGACATGGTTTCTTATAACAGAACAAGAGGGAGAAAATGAGAGAACTTTATTGTTCAAATACATCTTAAAGTGCCTGAAATAAGGGCTTTTTATAACATGTAGGCTATCACATTGGAAGCCTGTTGTTTGTTTTCCTTTAAATCATTTTGTTCCTGCTTAACTCCCTAGTTAGGGGATGCTCTATGTAGTTAGTCCCACCCTCCTCCTTTATACTGTAGCCTACATTCACCAAATCTACTGTATTCTGCTGGAGCTAAACAGTAGGATTTTTTTGACTTATCTGTTATGATCTGCACAGGTTTTTGGATTAAAGCTTTCCACAATATGCAAGATGTCATTTGGATCGAGTCACTGTCTGCTATTAAGTCTGTTAAATTGTATCTGCTACCTATAGTATAGTGTTTTAAGGAGATTGGTCATTTAGGATCTGTTAACGGGGAGAGACTTAATGAAAGTGGTTGTGGTTTGCCCAGATTTGGTCAGATTGGGCAGGGTTTGGTAGACCTGGGGTTGCAAAAAGGCATGTGGAGTTTCAGAGCCATAAACTGGTCCCTTCCTCTTCCAACATTAGTGACAAATAAAAGCTCACACTGAGCATTTTATGGTGTGCTGGTGACACTTATAATGCATTAGATATATTGACAACGATGACATTCATTGATGAGACACTACAGGGGTAGGAGGAGAAGGGGAAAAGGAGTCCCAGGTTTTTTGGGTTTTTTTTTCTAAACAAAGCTAATAAGGATAGCCTGGAAATTGTGTAAAGAAGCCTCCTGCTGTCTGCATTTGAAAACACAAAATACTGATATGCAATAATATCATATTTACCTCTAAAATTTGTATACTTTAACTGTTTTATTGTATTTTTAAGCTAGACATTAATAAAAAAAAATATATATAAAGTATATACAGTGATTAGCCATAACATTATGACCACTGATAGATAAAGTGAATAACACTGATTATCTGGTTACAATGGTATCTGAAAGTCGGTGGGATATATTGGGCAGCAAGTGAACATGTTGTCACTGAAGTTGATGTGTTGAAAGCAATAAAAATGAGCAAGTGTAAGGATTTGAGGGACTTTGACATGGGCCAAATTGTAATGGCTAGACGACTGGGTCAGAACAACTCCAAAACTACAGCTCTTGTGTGATGTTCCCAGTCTGCAGTGGTCAGGGCCTACCACAGTGGTCCAAGGAAGGAAAACTGGTGTGAACCAGTGACAGGGTCATGGGTGTCCAAGGCTCATTGATGCATGTGGGGAGCGAAGGCTGGCCCATGTAGTTTGCTCCAATAGAAGAGCTACAGTAGCTCACATTGCTGAAAAAGTTAGGCTACTTTCAAACTGATCCACTGCAAAAACGCATAGGCATTTTTACCATGCTTTTGCCACGCTTTCTGAGCATTTTTAAAGGACACGTGACTTATAAACTGCACCAAAGGCACTTACCAGAGGCTTTTTTTTAAACGTTTTCAAGCACTTTCCATTGATGTCAATAGGAAGAGGCATTTTTCGGGAGTTTTTTTAACTCACCAAACATGCCCCAAAGATGCTGCAAGCAGGAGGTTTTACATTGCACTGCCAGCATAACGCCTCAGTATGAAAATATACATAGATATATATTTCACATACAAAGGAAAGCATTTTTCTTGAGCTTTTCAGGTGCTTTTTATAACACAAAAAACGTTTCAAAAACTCCTCAATGTGAAAGTAGCCTAACTGCTGACTTTGATTTGGCGTCAGAACACACACTGCATCGCAATTTGTTGAATACAGACCTGTATAGCTGCAGACCGGTCCATGCTGAAAAATGTCCACAGCCAAAAGTGCCTACAATGGGCACGTGAGCATCAGAATTGGACCACAGAGAAGGTGATTAATTCAGTTATGATTGGAGCAACACAACAATGAGTTTGAGATGTTGACTTGGCCTCCAAACTCTCCACATCTCAATCCAATCGAGCATCTGTGGGATGTTCTTGAAAAACAAGTTCAATCTATGTAGGCCTCACCTCGCAACTTACAGGTCTTAAAGGATCCACTACTGATGGTTTGGTGCCACATACCACAGTAAACTTTAGAGGTCTAGTGGAGTCCATGCCTCTACAGGTTATGGTGGGGGGTCATAATGTTATGGCTGATCGGTGTATACTGCACATTCTCTTTAATTCGTAACTCTTTAATTGTTTGTTTACCTTAGTAAGCTCGGCGGTTTGTACCAGTCTGTTCTTACTTCCTGCGTACATCATCTGCTGCTCAGGCTTACAACCTGTTCACAGGGAAATATAATGTTGACTGTATGGGAATCACAACAGGGTCTTATTCAGTAACAGCACATTATAAAGCTAAAGATTAGAGTGGTAACTTATAGCAACCAGTCAGATTTCACTTTCCCTAAGGATCACCATACACGTTATATTCTGACAATACAATGTTTGTACAGTCAACTTTAGAGTTACCAATTCTATGTGTAGCACCCCTCTAGTTAGCCAGGGGGAGCTAGCTAGGATTTTACCTACAGGCTGAGTAGCAGCCTGAGATGAGTCAGCCAGGTAACTTTAGGTCAGGGCTAAGGGCTCTGCAGGTCAGTTCTTGATATCTCCCCCTGCTCTAGAAGCTTGAGAAGTTTCTAGAAGGCAGTAGGTAGGGGTGAGGAGGGGGCTGATCTGCATACTCAGGGGACTCTGACCAGTCCCCAAGCAGGACACTTGTCATGGGGCCAGGGCAGCCCTTAAGATTGGGAGAGCCTCATCAGGACGTGGTCAGTGTTGGGTGGAAGATGATGTGAGAAGGCCAGAGTGTGGACCCTGGGAGGGGACCCAGGGTGGGGCCCATCTGCAGGCAGGATCTTGGAAGGAGGATCTCTCAGCCTCAACCAGCCCCTGAGAAAGGACAGCCTGGGAAATATGAAAGAAGTCAGCCCAGCATATTGCCTGAAGGAAGCCACATTTATTATCCTGCAGATTACCTTAGAAGTAACGACAGCATTCATTTTCTTTTCTAGGCTTTCTTTCCTTTATGCTGCTGATCTAACCAATAAGTCTGTTTTTAAACAAAACAAGCTCTCCAGCAAATGTAGCAGAGTGATGAGACAAACCATTGCTAGTGACAGGGGTATTTACAATGATCAGCTTATATTTATTTATATAAAACCTTTATCCCAAAAGAAAAAACAAACTTTGCTGTAACTGCACAGTGAGCTGGAGTTTGCCTTCAATTTGTTAGTGTATCTAAGTCTGCTACTACACCTAACATACCTCTCCCCCGGACTGACAATGCCGCTGTCTACTCTGCCCCTGTGCTCCTTCATTCAGAGTGGGGGCATTCTAATACAGTAGGTGTGCTACTGGCCAGATCACCAGGTGAAAACAGAGAGAAAAATAACTAAAAAATAAAATTAATGCAGGCACTTTTAATCATTGGTAATCTGCAATATATTACATTTCTGGTTTTATGTTTAATACCACTTCAACTAAGCACTTCCAGTTCTGGTCTTATAGAGGTCATAGTATACAGGTAATATGGATGTCCCACCACTGCCCAGATGTGGACACTTACCGGCTGGACTGGAGAAGACCATGCACAGTGGGTATGAGACGCGCCCATCGTCATGCTTGTACTGGTAACTGTATACCAGAAATGTGTCCTCTGGTTAAGGAAGTCAACAAACACAATACAGAGTCATTCTAGGTTCCTAGTCCCGTGTGAGCTCTGATTTGAGAGCAGCTTTGAGATGCAAAGAAAAGGTTTGTTCTGCTTGGCTATGGTTGCACAGATAATCCCCATAGGTATCTATGAATCAGCCTCCTGCGGCTGGAGACACTTGGAAGACTATCCTATGTGGATCGACTGCAGGCACAGCCCCTGTACCGAAAATTTTATTGTAGGACATACCTAACCAGGGTTCAATGGAACCCTAGGAATCCTCCTGATGTTTCTAGGGTTTCTTTGAGCAGTGACAAATTAATCTGTCACCTACAATGACCACCAGTGTAAGAGGACACTTCTACATTGACCACTAATGTGAGGGGACACCACATTTTTAATTATCTCTCTGGTTTTTTTTCTTTTATTATTATTCCTTTGTATTTCAAGATATTTTTGCCCTGTGTGTCAAATATGATAGGTAGGCCACATTATTTAAGTTTTCATTTATAATTTTCAATAACCTATTGATCATGCTAATGTGCTGTCAGTTGTATGTATAATTGTTTTTTTAGCAGGAATTCCCCGAGACCTGAAAATCATATCAAGGGTTCCTCAAGGCAAATTGTTAAGAAAGGCTGGTCTAAGCGATCAACAATACAGAGGGTGGAGCCTTTAGAATTGACGTAGGTGTTTTTAGGTCAAGTGTGTACACTAAAATAAGAGACACTGTCAATTTTACCTTTTAGGGCACCGCTGTGCTTCTGAAACTGTTGGAGCATGGGACTTCATCCCATGTCAATGCTAGGGTTACCACCTGGCCAGTATTTTAATGGCCTGGACAGTAAAACTGGGGCTTGTTGCCAATATTGTTAATAATATAGAGGTCATGAGGCCAATATTTTTCCTGGAAAGATTGCAACCTTAGACAGTGCTTGGGTCTAACAAGCAATTACTAGGTCCAAAGACACATTATGGAGGGAGTGATGTCACCGCGTCGGACACCATTCAACACTGAAGATTCGGTATCGGCTTCAATGGAGGCAAGAGTGGCTGGGGGGTGCTGACAAGGTGAGTATTATAGGATCAGGGTGCCCATTTAGAGAGGCACTATGACAGCTGTCACTTTGCCCTGAATGGAGAAGTTGACAATGGGCTCAATTCACAAAGCAGTATCTACCGCAATAAGAACTGTGGTAACTTACTTAGTTACACTTAGTGTATTTCAAAATTATTTTTGCAATTCACTAAAACAAAACTACTAAAATACGGCATGAGCCATTTTATAAAGTGATGTGACATTTTAGTAGTGAAATTCAGCAGTGTTTTAACAGCGGTGGTAGCCAGCATCCTTAGCAACCAGTAGAAAATAATTGTTAAAGCGGAGTTCCACTCAACCTATCAAAAAATAAAAGTCAGCAGCTACAAAAACTGTAGCTGCTGACTTTTAAAAAACATCCACTTACCTGTCCCTCGGTCCCGTGGTGTGTCCCCCGCAGCTCATCTCACAAGCTGTCCTGTATTCCAGGAGGCTGACATCTTCAGTGTGGGCACCCGGCTGTGATAGCTTGCGGCTTCACAGCCAGGTACCCACTGCACATGCGCGAGTAGTGCTGTGCTTCAGGAATGGTCAGATCACCTAAATATCGCATGCAATCTGCTTCAGTGAATTGAGCCCAGAATCTCTTTAACAAAAGATCTGTGGGGATGCAATTTTGTCGCTTGGTTGCTAGGCGACTGCCCTTTTCATCTTTTGTGTCAGCTTCAGCAGCTTGTCAGGTTATGCAATGGATCTGATAGTGATCATAGCATACTACTGATTTGTAGCTACATAAAGAAGCATTGAGGCCAGCTACAGCATCAATTTTATACCACCTAAAAAAAAAAAATTGCCATTAAAAATATACAGGATTTATAAAGCATTGACAGATTAGGCAGCACTTTACAGACTGGAGAGAGACAGTACAGTTACAATACAATTCAATACAAGAGGAATCAGCGGGCTCTGCTCCTTAGAGCTTACAATCTAAAAGGAAGGGTCAACTGATACAGAACAAAAAAGTAATAACTGTGAGCAGATGGAAGAAGTAAAAGTTCAGTTTGAACCCTCATGCACACTGAGTGTACGTGTATTGATAACGCTGGTAACGTTAGCAGTGTAAAGTCACGTTAAAAATGTGAGGTTTTTAGCATTTAGCTGTGTTTTTGCCGTGATTAGCGACGTTTTTCTGCGTTTGTGTTTTTTTACTAAAAAAAATTCTTTGGTCAGAAAAAGTCCAAAGACACCAGTTTTACCGGCATTTTACCGCATTTTTTCAGTGTTAGAGCATTTTTACAGATAAAAAACTCCTCTAGAAACCCACTAGTCCTGGGTTTTTTTTCCAGCCAAAAAAAACATTGATTACAGCCTATGTGTGCATGGACACATAGGATAACATGCTGGGGGGTCTACTGGCTGTAGAAAAAAAACATCAAAACAGCTGCTGTAAAAATGTCCCATGTGCACGAAGTCTGATAGTTAAAGGCAGGACAGGCCTCTCTGAAGAGATGGGTTTTCAGGGATCCCCTAGAGGTGGATTGAGTTGGAGATAGCTGGACAGATTGAAGTAACGAGTTCCAGATGGTGGGAGAGGCTGTGGAGAAGTCTTGGAGGCGCGCATGAGAGAAGGTAACAAGGGAGCTGGAGTGCAGGTGGCCTTAGGAGGAGCAAAGAGAATGATTAACCACTTGCCGGTCACCCCACAGCAGTTTTACTGCTACAGGTGGCCGCTGTGTGCAAAATCACGCACACACATTATATATATATATAAACCGCTGAGAAAACCTGTATTTTATATATATATATATATATATATATATATATATATACACACACATATACATACATATACACACACACATACATACATACACACAAGATTTTGCACTTCTGCATTGCAGGCACGTGTGTATTGCAGCACACCGCTTTTGCTGTGATTTGTCAGCAGAAGCTGATCAGCGGGTACTGAGCAGTGGATGTCCATTGGCACTAGCCGATCGTCAAGTAGACCGACAAGGACTCAGCTCTGCCTATGTAAACAAGGCACAGTTCTGTCCTGTATGGTTACACATGGGGTAAAGGGACCAAGACAGTGGGTGTAGGAACATAAAGAAAATTTACTCAATGGTATACCATGTGTTGAAGGTAGAGGTCAGATCAAAGACCAGTTGTCCTATAACCATATATAATATAGGTGGAGGGCGCCTAAAAAATTAATTGACTTCTGCAAAAAAAGATTTACTGGTCCATATCAGTCCGGGTAAATATGTCCCATAAGATGACCAGTATGGGGCACCATCTGCTCCACAGACCTACAGTACCATAGTGACTAAGTTCATAAACAGCAATCAGTATGAATAAATAATCGACTTCTCACCAACTCTTTAGTGTTCACTGAGCTTAATTCCCGCAAGTCACAAGTAATTTTGGGACATTACCACTGGATGGAGTCAAAGTGCTTTCCATATATGCTGTACAGTATCAGCGGTGGTATAAGTCCGGTCCTCTGTAATCAGTGTACCTGGAGATGCTGGACGCCCAGACCTTGTGATGGAGGACGGACGAGACAGCCGCAGAACGCGGTGACATCACGCACAGGGTGTGGGTGAGGAGCTGCAATCCGACATGTTTCGCCCAATGGGCCCTGAAGAAACCTAAGCCTATTGGGCAAAAAACACTGGCTAGGCACATTTACCCTTTAATCTTTAACCCTTTCCCTACCAGTGTTATTAGTACAGTGACGGTGTTTATTTTTATCACTGATCACTGTATTAGTGTCACTGGTTCCCACAAAGTGTCAGTTAGTAAGAAATTTGATTTTTTTTTTTTTTTTAATTGGATGTTTTATAGCAGAAAGAAAAAAAAACATTTTTTATTTTTTTCCAAATTTTTGGTATTATTTGTTTATAGCACAAAAAAATTTAAAAAAAACAGTGGTGATCAAATACCACTAAAAGGAAGCTCTATTTGTGGGAAAAAAATGACATAACTTTTATTTGGGTGCAGTGTTGCATGACCGCGCAATTGTCAGTTAAAGTAATGCAATGGCGTATCGCAAAAAATAGCTTGGTAAGGAAGGGGCCAAGTTCTGGGAGGGCGTCATATGATGTTCTCCCACAAAACGCCCTCCCGCATGCCCCCGGCGATCTCTGTGATCATAGTGTCTACGGACACAGCTGACCATGTGATGAGGTAAAAGGCTAATCACAGCGGCCTTTTACCACGTGGTCAACTGTGTCCAATGACACAGCAGATCACAGAGTAAATACAGTTGCCAGTTATCAGCAGGACTTTCCTCACGCTGTCACAGCATTAGGAAAGTACTGCCGATAATCGGCAGCTGTCAGAGGAGATTGACACTGATCATCAGGGCACTAATGATCAGTGCCTTGATGATCAGTGCCCTGCAGTGCCGCCCACCAGTGCCCAGTAGTGCCTCCCATCAGTGCTCAGTAGTGCCCCCCAGCAGTGCCTCCCATCAGTGCCGCTTATCAGTGCCATCAGTCAGGGCTGTCAGTCAGGGCCTTCAGTCAGCGCCTCCCGTCAGTGTTGCCCATCAGTGCTGCCTATCAGTGCAGCATCATCAGTGCCTCATTAATGCCCACCAGTTGCGCCTCATCAGTGCAGCCTATCAGTGCTGCTTACCCGTACCTCCTCATCAGTGCTGCCTATCAGTGCAACCTCATCAACGTACATCAGTGAAGGAGAAAAATTACCTGTTAGCAAACAATTAGGGAAAAAAAGTTTTTCTTTGTTTCTATTATAAAATTTTGCAATTTTTTTTGTTTATAGCGTAAAAAATAAAACACCCAGTGGCGATTAAATACCACCAAAAGAAAGCTGTATTTGTGTGAAAAAAATGATAAAAATGTCATATGGATACAATGTTGCATGACCGCGCAATTGTCATTCAAAGTGTGACAGAGCTGAAAATTGGCCTGGGCAGGAAGGGGGTAGAAGTGCCCGGTAAGTAAGTGGTTAAAGAAAGTTTGAGCTGCTACAAAGTTGCTGGTGTGACATAGCTTAGGGCTTTTTCACACAGGCATTGAATTCTAATGCAGCCTTAAAGTGTTTTAACGCACCTATAGAGTTAATGAGTGGTTTGGATGTGTTGCACAGGCATTCATGCTGCATCAAGCAACACTCCTCAAACACCCTGTGAGATCTGTTTTTTTTTTTTTGTACAAGATTTAAATATGAAAATGATCACTTATGATGCTTTGCAACCACACCTTAAACGTACTGTAAACGCCACAGGTGCATTTACAGTGCGTTTATGGTGCTCTTGTGGTGCGTTTCAAAAGAAGTGAATGGAGGCAGTTGCAAAGTGTCAATGCCTGCCAAACTCTGCAGGCAGCATTATTTTTGCCTGGCTGTAACACAAGGCAATGCTAATGCTTCAGTGTGAACACCTGCATCTGCTCCCTCTTTTAATAACTTTGAGTGGCATTGATAGGCATTAAAAACATGACTCAACTGTCTATGTTCAACTCCTGTGTGAAAGAGCCGTAAGGACATACAGTACAATCTTATTAGGGCAAAGATGATGTTATACAGGGGACTTGGCTTCCTGATACTTTGAGGGGGTGCACGGTCACTTCGCAACCAGAACTGAACTGGTAGCAGTGGCGTCCCTAGGTGGGGTGCGCGCCACACGAGGTTACACCGGACCCTCTCCATGAAAAGGAAAGTTTAAAGTAAATCAACGATCCCCGCAAGATGGATCAGATCTGCAGATTGAGCATAATGGATTGGAGTCCGATCCATTAAGTTCCCCAATCCGCAGATCCGATCCATCCTGCGGGGATTGTCGGCTTGCAACCTATACGAGGTTTAACTGATCTAGGTAAGGCTGTGCAAGATCCGGGACTTGTCTGTAACCAGGAAATGCGGCCGCGATAGCAGGAACCTCCTTCATCTGACATCACTTCTCGAGCATGTGCAGACTGGACCGGTGTTGAAAGATCAGTTAACTCCGTATAGGTTGCAAGTTGACGATCCCCGCAAGATGGATTGGATCTGCAGATTGGGGAGCATAATGGATCGGACTCCGATCCATTATGCTCAATCCGCAGATCCAATCCATCCTGCAGGGATCATCGGAGGGGGTGACTCCAAGTGTTACTGCACCAACCCTAAGGACACCACTGACAGGCAGGTAGTCCTTTGGACCACTTTACCAGGTCATGTTAAATAGTTAGTCTGGCTGAAAAAAGAAAAAAGTCGATCCAGTTAAACCAATAAAAAAAAAAAGTTATAATCCTATACCCACGGTTGATCCAGAGGAAGGCAAAAAAACCCAGCAAAGCATGATCCAATTTTCTCCTCCAGGGAAAAAAAATTATTTCCTGATCCCCCGAGAGACAATCGGATATTCCCTGGATAAACTTTACCTATAAATGTTAGTATCCAGTTATATTCTGTGTATCTAAGAAAGAATCCAGGTGTCAGGAATGGACTCAGCACTGGTGGTGGGACTCGCCTGCCGTGTGGGCTGCAGTACCAGAGCTGACCAGCGGGTGCTCTCAGCACTGGTGGTGGAACTCACCTGCCGTGTGGGCTGCAGTACCAGAGCTGACCAGCGGGTGCTCTTAGCAGCCAGAAGCTCACAATCAGCCAAACCTGGGGCTGATTACAGAAAGGTGTATATAAGGCATGACCAGGTCTGTGCTCTGGGCCTTGGTGTATGGTTTCCCATGAGCCTCTGTACCTGTATCCTGTGTTCCTGCTTTGTTGCTGACCCGGCTTGATCTTGATCTCTGTTGACCGTCTCCTGTTCTGACTACTGGCTCATCCCTGACTATTCTTCTGCCTACTCCTATGCTGTTTGACCTCCTGTTGTACCTTGGCTTGTGACCCATTTACTCTTTGCCTGCTGCTCTGTACTGATCTGCCTCCACTGTTACCGACCCGGCTTGTCTGACCACGCTAACTACTCTGCCATCCATCCATCCTGCACGGATCCAGCCGTACCTGCACATACCTCTGGCGGATCCCCCTACCACTAGCAGGTGTACTCAGGGGCCGCGACCTGGTCTCAGTCCTGCGCCAAGTCCATCCCCACCATCAGGGGCTCTGGTGAAAAGGCAGACTGGGGCTTAGACTCCGCGCCCTGGGGAATCCTGCCCTGAGGACCGCTAGAGGTACCACCAGGCAGTTGTTACAGAACCCTACGGCCGGCCTGACCATTCCACCTCTCCAGCCCTGACTACGCCTGTGTTCCTGCACCTCCTAAGATTAGTGGAAGGTTAGTTTGTTCACTGTGCGTTTATACATATATATATCTGGGTGGCTAATAATAACCTGTATTGTATTGTACCTGAGACCTGCGTTTCCCTGTGTCAGTCCACACCTTTCTGGTCATTCCTTGATTCCTGACACCAGGTCTTTGTTAAAGCAACCCACTGAGCTGGCCAGAACCAACTCTTGAGGGAGTCTATTCCACATTTTCACAGCTCTCACTGTGAAGAAACCTTTCCATGTTTGGAGATTACATTTATTTTCCTCCAGACGTAAAGAGTGCCCCCTTGTCCTCTGATGACCTCAGGGTGAATAACTCTACACCGAGTTCACTATATGAACCACTGATGTATTTATACATGTTGATCATATCCCCCCTTAATCTCCTCTTCTCAAGAGAGAATAAATTCAGTTCCTCTAATCTTTCCTCAAAGCTGAGCTCCTCCATGCTACCTTCCCAAGAGCCCTACCTTGGAGGATTGAATCAACAGCATTCTCAAATTCTAATATGCGCAAAGATATTTGCTCATCCCTACTTATAAGAAGCCACTGACTAATACATGCATAGCTACTACAGGTAACATGTCTGGTAAGGATATCTTGGCTGACGTTCTGGTAGTTCATTCTGTAGGTCATCAGGGGAATATCCTGAAATAGAAATACATATTTCAGAGTAATGAAATTATCAGTAATTGCTGCACACTAGTTCTTCTGCTAGACCAATGATACTGAGGTATTGACTTACTAAAGTAAGAGAATTCTAACTCACACCTGTGAATGTGTTTTACTTTGAATACCCATCATGTGCAGAGGAATTTAAAAGAATAGGATTTTCCCTTGCACATGATTGAATGATCGAAGTGTACGATGCTTCACTGAGCTACGTGAACATTGCCTCCTTTACTAAGTCTAGCCATCAAACCTTGTTATCAAAGCCTATCATGCATGTTACAGTTGGCCAGCTAAAGAGAAAATATGTATGTGGTGTATGCATTCCCTCAAATAGAAGGGAATACAAAGCCCAAGGAGGCAAAAAGAAGTAGGTAAATACATCAATCTATCCTCTATGCATATCGTAAACCACTTCATCAAGGGCATGGGCTTGCTTGTTGACTTACCTCTTTGACTGGTTAAGGGTAGCTTGAAGACTTCTTAGTAAGGTAAATAAAAAAATCAAGACATACGTAAAGAGGGGGGGTTGGGGGAGTTGATCCCAGTGTTGGATTTTCATTTTTCATTCAGATGTGTAACACACCAAGCATTGGGGGGAAATTTGCCCAATTAGGCTGCAAACAACAATAAAAATATCGAAGACATCGAATCTTATGCTCTCACCAGATTCATCCAATAATCAAGCGTTGTACCAAATAAATCCTCCTCTCTTCCAATCCTCTTCTGTCTATTCTTCTGCTTTTGCTCTTAGTAGAAAAAAACACATATACTATATAGTATGTCTTACACATGTGAAATGTGCTCAAACTCTCAAAATATGATGTACTCCCATAAATGAACGCGGGACACCCTGGCAGCGGAACTGGACTTACTTGCCTCTTCGGAGGCTGAAAGGGCCTTGCGTTGGACCAAACATAAATTTTATACCTGTGCTAATAAACCGGGTCTGATGCTGGCTAAGAAACTCAATTCTGTGGGGAAATCCCATAAACCGGTCTGGTTGTAGCTCCCTTCAGGGGGCTGCACCTCCAATCCCCAGCAAGTCGTTTCACAGACTTCCTTTCACACTTCTTTGTCAAACCAGATCCCTTTCCTGTAGCTCAGGCGAAAGTATTCTTTCAAAATCTAAAACTCTCTGGATTGTCTGAAGCAGCATAGGTGGCCCTTAATGCAGGTGTAACTCTATTAGAAGTACTTCAAGCTATCAAATCTTGACAGTGCACCGCAGCCCCGGATTTTCTGCCCTCCAGATGTGCTTAGAGCTCATATCTCAATGATTTCCTAGGACAACGGAAGACGTACAGGAAGAGTGGTCAGGAATAGCCGAGGTCAGGACAAGCGGAGTTCCTTCAGAGTCAGGATCAAAGCAGAGTCAGGATCAGGCAGGAAGCAGACAGAATGCAGGTACAGGGGCTCATGGGAAACATACACCAAGGCACTGACTGCAGGTCTGGCCATTCCTTAAATACACCTCCTGCAATCAGCCTCAGGTGATGGTGCTGGCCAGCCCTGGTACTGCAGCCCACACGGCAGATGAGTCCCACCAGTAATGGTGAGTCCATTCCTGACAGTACCCCCCCCCCCCCTCAAGGAGCGGCCTCAGGATGCTCCAAAACAGTCCTTAGTGGCTGGCTGGCTGGCTTGGTTTCCTGCTGGTAGTCTTCTCCTTGTGTAGGAGCAGCCAGGAAGGCAGGTTACTTGACACAGGATCTCCAGGAGCAGGCTGGGAATCAGTTATTGGCCAGTTTAGCTAGACATCAGGGGCTGGCACATCAAGCTGGGCAGCGAGCGGAGGCACATCAGGCTGGGCAGCGGACAGAGGCACATCAGGCTGGGCAGCGGACAGAGGCACATCAGGCTGGGCAGCGGACAGAGGCACATCAGGCTGGGCAGCGGACAGAGGCACATCAGGCTGGGCAGCGGACAGAGGCACATCAGGCTGGGCAGCGGACAGAGGCACATCAGGCTGGGCAGCGGACAGAGGCACATCAGGCTGGGCAGCGGACAGAGGCACATCAGGCTGGGCAGCGGACAGAGGCACATCAGGCTGGGCAGCGGACAGAGGCACATCAGGCTGGGCAGCGGACAGAGGCACATCAGGCTGGGCAGCGGACAGAGGCACATCAGGCTGGGCAGCGGACAGAGGCACATCAAGCGGGCAGCGGCACAGAGGCCCATCAGCGAGGCAGCAGGCACCGGCCCATCAGGCGAGGCAGCAGGCACCGGCCCATCAGGCGAGGCAGCGGGCACCGAGTCATCTGGCAGAACAGCGGGCACCGAGTCATCTGGCACGACAGCGGGCACCGAGTCATCTGGCACGACAGCGGGCACCGAGTCATCTGGCACGACAGCGGGCACCGAGTCATCTGGCACGACAGCCTGACCCCCACCTCTTTGTTTGCTGCAAATTATTATCCATTGCTTTGCTGTGTCCTCCCTTATGCAGTCTTGGTAATTCCCTCACCTGTCCTGGATAAGACGGGTTAATTTGGTGAAAATTACTATCTTTCCTAAATTGTTGTATTTTTTTCGCACCCTCCCAGTGCGGGTTCTTCCTCATTTTCTCCGGTTGATTCAGGTGAGGATTATGCAATTTATCTGGGCTGACAGATGTCCCAGAGAAACACGCTTTTTGCCCATAGACTGCAGGGATATCTTGGGGCACCTAATGTGTAGTAAAGTATTACCAGGTGAGCCAGATTGCCCCCCCCCCCCCGTATATGTTACACGCTTCCTCTGATGTCCCTTCTCTGGGTCCTTTTGTAACTACCTAACTGTGCCCCCATTGTGACATCGACGCTTTTTATGGCTCTCCCTGTCCCAACGCCCGAGGAAATTGAGTCCCATTCTGCTCCATGGCCTATAAGTGTGGGATTCGGTACTCTATTCTAGTGGATTGATGTCACCCTTTCTACCCTTGCTCCCCATTGTCAACAATCCTCTTTTTACGCCGGGTTTGGATCAGCCAAGGGCGTTCTCTTGGTGAGCAGCCAATGGTTTTTCACAGGTGCGACACTTTTTGACCTCCGGATCCTTCCCCACCAGAAACTCTCTTCGGGAATCACGGGCTGTCCCTCAGGCAGAATTTTTCCATTACCTTCAATAGCGGCACTAGTTGAACCTCACTACGTGGCACTACCGCCTTTTTATATCAGAAATCTGCCCTTTGAACAGTCTTGCCAACAGCGTCTGGGCGCCTCGGGTCTTGTTTCCCTACTTTATGCATTCTTGAATAGGTGCTCAATGCGTACTTCTCTATCATATGTTGCCCAGTGGGAGCGTGACTTGGGGGCGGTCGTGGATCTGGAGGACTGGAATAAGGCCTGGTCATTTATAGCTGAATGTTCATTTAATACAGCCACACTGGAGGTGGCATACAAAGTAGTGTTTGGTATTCGGTCCAGCTCATATCGCTGCTTTCAAGGTTACAGCCATTGTGGAGATATGTTGCATATATGGTGGTCTTGCCCAAGACTGGTTAGTTTTTGGTCTCATGTATTTGGCCTTCTTTACACCTTTTTCCATCTCTCCATACACCAGGAGGCTCGGTATGCTTTGCTTCGTTGTCCCATACTGGGTCTGTTTGCTCAACAGCAGAAGTTGGCTTCCTATTTGTTTTTGTTGGCCACTAGAACAATTGCTCGGGCCTGAAAAGGCCCGTCTGTCTCTCTTCAGGGGGTGCAGGACCATATGACCACTCTGATGCTCAATGAACAGATGTTGAATATCCGTAATGACTCGCAATGGAAATTTTTTAAAATATGGGAGACGTGGTTGACATATGCTTTTCCCACGCTCCCCCCGGCTAGCCTGGGTTTATGATGCTTTACGATATTGGCGTTCCAGGCTCTTCAGTATCGGAATTCATGTAAGCATATACCAGTGGTCAGCAAGCCGCAGCTCGCGAGCCACATGCGGCTCTTTGCACACTTTAATGCGGCTCTTCTGTGTGCCGGGCGCCCGCTCCCCTCCCTCCTCTCGGGCGGCCGCTCCAAAAGTCAGGACTCTGCAGCTAGCCCAGCAATGGGCAAACTACGGCCCGGCGGACCTTTTAATCCAGCCCGCGGAGCATGGCAAACATTGGCTGTCAGGATGTAGGCGGGGCAGCGTGACGAACTCCTCTCCTCTCACAGTCCGCCCTGAAGACCGGAACGGCGCGGGAACACGGCGAGAGGAACACGCGGAGCAAAGGTAAGTGAATTGACACAATATGGGGAATGAATTACTATAGGGGGGATGAATTACTATATGGGGGATGAATTACTATATGGGGGATGAATTACTATGGGGGATGAAATTACTATATGGGGGATGAATTACTATATGGGGGATGAATTACTATATGGGGGATGTATTTTCAGTTTTAAAAATGTGGCTCTCAAAATAAATTTCAATCGTGGTTTTGGCGAGATTTGGCTCAGTTGAAAAAAAAGGTTGCCCACCACTGGCATATACTCTTCAATAAAGAAGAGTTTTTTTTGTACGGCCTCATTATGCATTTTTTTTTTTAATACACATATTAGGAGCACGGAGGTTACAAGAAATGGAAGAGGAGGATTTCACTGATGCACAGATTATTAAGAAGGTGTATTTGTAATATAGAGAGGGTAAGGTGCATGACCTTATGGGGTATGGTGAAGAACTGTTGGTGGTGTGATATTCATGGTCATGGACACATGGTGGAATAATGGAGAAGACACTGGTATAGATGTTTTGCATGACAGTAATAAGGGAGGATAAGAGTATATATTATTGATGGTGATTGGGAAGAGCACAATATTTGGAATACATCATATTTTGAGAGTTTGAGCACATTTCACATGTGTAGGACATACTACACTATATGTGTTTTTTTTTTTTCTATTTGGGAGCACAAGCAGAAGAGTAGACAGAAGAGGATTGGAGGAGATGAAGATTTATTTGATACAACGCTTGATTATAGGGTGAATCTGGTGAGAGCATAAGAGGATTAGATGTCTTGAATTGATTTTGAGGACTGATATTTCGCTGATTTGATAGTGACTGTGCTTCTGCCCAGGGGGGCAGTTATATTTCTAGCTGCAAAATTGGCATTTGACCCTTGGATCTTAGTAGCATGTAGAGCAAAAAATAAAAATATGATAGAGGTAACATTTTCCTATCCTGTCTGTAGTAAGAAAAGGAGCTGTCTACAGTACTGCTTTATTCCAATTAATAAAACTGCACAAAATAAACTTGTAAAAGTGGGAAAGTCAAATCAAAATTACTTAAGTGCAAACCTGGGCTTTGTGTGTGCACTCATTAGTGCCCCCTTTACCATCAAAACATATATTTCTTTCATTGCCCACCACTCTGTTCATCTGCTGAAAATGAGGATAGAAAGCCCTGTGCAAATGTGATTTCATTAGGGCTAACCTAAAAAGCATCTGGGTTGCCACTCAGGGCCACGTATCCAAGTCCAGTAGACTCCACTGTGGGTGCCGGTTCAGAGTGAAGAGCCAGTCCCACCTCTATGTACTCAGATAGGAGAAAAGAAAGTCCCTATTCTTTAACACCAAACAAACATTGGTCATGCAAGTAATAGCAGCCTCAGCCTAGCTCCATCCAGGCTGCGCCCCAATGCGTTTCATCACATCTACTGGGCTTAGTCATAGAGGGGTGAAACGCATCGATGTGCATGGCCTGGGCAGAGCTAGTGTCAGGCTGCTATCACTTGCATGGTGGTCGGGTTTGTTTGGTGTGCAGCAATCAAGTATTTCTATTCTCCTGTCTGAGTTCATTATGGCTCAGTTTAAATAACATTATTGCTCTCCTGAAAATCAATCTGTTTACAGATTGCTTTTCATTAGGTGTTTGACAGACAGCAAGGATTTGATATGATGCATCCTCACCTCTGGTTTTAAAGTGTTAATAAACCCATGACCCTGTATTTACTATATCTGATCTCCCATAGTACACAGAACTTGGAAATGTAATTATTTTTAGTAAATATTAACTGCTAAATATTCTCATCAGCAGTTAGAGCAGTCTTGTGACTTCTATCAGTGTCCAGCAGAGCACTGGTTAAAGCTTGTACAAGGAGTTTTCATTCTCCCCTGACTGTCCTATGAGGCAACATAACCCCTGACCCTCTGTCTGGACAGTGCTGATTGGCGCTGTGCTGATCACATGCACTCTCCCAAGAAAAAAAAACCTCTCTAGCAATACACACTAAATTGAGCATGTGCAGAGTGACTCCACAGGATATGTCTTATCAGGAGATAAGAGGGGGACACTGGAAGAAGGGGAGGATCAGAGAATACAGGATCAAAGAGTGTTTTTACATAATGCGGAGGATTAACCCCTTAGGTTCCACAGTGAGTATAACAAGCATGCTTTACTGCATATATAGACTGATTTTACTTTTGTGGGTTTAGTAACACTTTAACTCTTTGATAGTAAAAACTGGAAGCGGATTGGTTTTTATGCAGAGCTGCACCAGATTTTTCACTTTCTAGTTTTAGTAAATCAATCCCCAGGTGTCTTCCTTGTTACCAGCAACTGTGAGAAGGTGAGTATGTGCAGCTGGGAAGGGGGGAAATAAAAGAAAACTTGTTTATTTGCTTGGCACTCAAAAATAGACTAAACTTTTCTTTAATATATAAAATGAATGGCAGTTATTGAAGCGTAGACCCACCATCAGACATCAAAGACTTGGGTACATGGAGATAATCTCTTTCCTTCCTCTGTCCATAACACGTTTGAGAAAGAACATTTTAGGAATCTACAGAATGCTTTTGTTTAGTTCCTTATGCAAAAAAGGATCTACTGCAAACAATTAGCTTGCCATAAATAATCAAAAAAATGTGAGAAAAAGACATAGCACAGGGGCGGACTGACCATTTGGAAACTCGGGCACTGCCCGAGGGCCCAGGTTCAGTAGGGGGCCCCATGAGATGCCCCTGGTAGCCTTTTTCATAGGCTTTTTTGAGTTTGGGCAAGGACACAGGGGCCCCATGAACCCCTATTGCCGGGGGTCCCATGAGTTGTCAGTCCGCCCCTGATAGCACCCTATGCTGCTTCCCAATGTTCATTTATGGTTGGCAATGAATTAGCTTCAAATGTGTTTTTGCATCCAGAATTCTCTAAGCCAGGGGTCTCCAAACTTTCTAAATAAAGGACCAGTATATGGTCCTTCAGAGTTTGAGGGGGGACTGACTGTGGCCAGCAGGAGTGGAAAATGCCCCACTATCAACAGTATTAAACAGTGCCCCAAGCTTGGTGGTCAATGAGAATAAAAAAATTACATAGTACCTGCGGTCAGAAAGAGGAAGAATAGTGTCCCATCATTGGTATTAGTAGGAGGAATAATGCCACATCGATGTCAGTGGGAGAAATAATGCCCTATCATTCTGGTCAGTGGAAGGAATGGTGCCCCATGGTTGGTATCAGTGGAAGGAATGGTGCCCCGTGGTTGGTATCAGTGGAAGGAATGGTGCCCCATGGTTGATGTCAGTGGGAGGAATAGTGCCTCATTTCAGTGGGAGAAATAATGCCCCATGGTTGGTGTCATTGGGAGGAATAGTGTCTTATCATTGGTGTCAGTGGGAGCAATAGTGCCCCATGGTTGTGTCACTGGGAGGAATAGTGCCCTATTGTTGGAAACAGTGAGACAAATACTGCCTCCTTATTGATGCCAGTGAGAGGAATAGTGCCCCATCATTCTTGTCAGTGGAAGGAATAGTGTGCTGTGCTTGGTGTCAGTGGGAGGAATAGTGCCCTATTGTTGGTGTTAGTGGGAGGAATAGAGCCCTATCGTTCTTGTCAGTGGAAAGAATAGTGCCCCATGGTTGGTGTCATTGAGAGAAATAGTGCCTCATATCAGTGGGAGAAATAGTGCCCAATTGTTAGTGTCAGTGGGTGGATTAGTACCTCATCTTTGGTGTCTGTGGGTAGAATAGTACCCTATGGGTGGTGTCAGTGGCAATGAATAGTGCCCCATGGTTGGTGTCAGTGAAATGAATAGTGCCTCATGGTTGGTGTTAGTGGGAGGAATAGTGCCCTAAGGGCCAGATAAAGGCAAGCAAAGGGCCGCATCCAGCCCACGGGCTGCAGTTTGGAGACCACTGCTATATGCTATCTTATTCTGCTTTCCATCCCTTATCCATTTATTGACAAATTCCCAATGAGGAGAGATGAAGCAGAAGATGAGTATGGTGCATGTGACATGGACAACCCACCTCAAACTCTTTTTCCAAGACCACCAGCTGTTTGTCCTTGTCAATCTTCACTAGGAAACAAATGAGAAGTGTGAGTGTGAGGGGAGAACAGACTTTGTGACCCCCCCGTATGAAACCTCCTCATGGTGGCACATAAGGTCCCAGTGTCCCGTATCCCTTTGCATGGTCACTCACTGAAGATGGCAGCATTGTTGGTCTCCTTCCTGAAACGGAATTTCCTCAGACGTTCTTTCAGCTCAGGGTCCACATCACACACCACCAACGAGTCAGACTGGAGAGAGGAAAGTAGACATAACGGTTATTTTAGTTCTAGCTAGGAAAAAACAAACCAATCAGTGATTTCCAGTCTAGATATGGGTGTAACTGAATCATGGTCAGAAAGGTGGACTTAGCTTTGTGCCGCTCTATACATCTGGATGCGCTAATAAAAGGTTATTGTGAAGTTTTATCTGCTCTCTTTGATGTAAAAAAAATCTAATCAAAGGTGCCATTTACTTCATTTATTGTATTCAAAGCAAACTCCACCCTCCATCCATATCTCCATGCTTTATTTTGCTGAGAAATCACTTTGAAAAATGACCCTTTAGCATTCCTGACCAAAGCCATCTTTAGTAAGGGCAGATGATTCATGCAGTATTCACTTCCTGGAATCCATCTGCTCTTAGGCATGCAGGCAGGAGGATGTGCTTAGCTGAGAAAACCCCTCCTCTCCTGATGACTCTTTGGATGTATGACATCATTTGCCTAGGCATGGAAACCAGGAAGCAACTGAAGAAAAGTGGAAAAAAAAAAAAATTAAGAAACAAGTAAATATACATTCTGATCTATTTACTAATGCTAGCAGCTTAAGGATTAAGAATAATCAGTGTTGATTGAAAGAGTGAAGTTCTGCTTTTCAATTGATATTAAAGACAAACTTAAAAATAAACAAACAAACATGTCATACTCACCTGCTCTGTGCAGTGGTTTTGCACAGAGCAGCCACGATCTTCATCTTCTCGGGTTCCACACCAGCGTTCCTGGCCCCTCCTTCCTTCCGAGTGTCTCCAGAGCTAGCATCTTGTTGTGGCGGCACCCAATTAGGCTCACTCCTGAGCTGCTGCTCTGCATATCCATTCACGCACAGAGCAGTGGTTCAGCCCTGCCCCCTCACTCTCCTCATTGGCTCACTGGCTGCGATTGACAGCAGCGGGAGCCATTGGCTCCCGCTGCTGTCTCAGCCACTGAGGTAGAGTCCCCGGAGAGCCTAGGCTCTTGTTCACAATGCTGGATTGCGATAGGGCTCAGGTACGTTTTACAGGAGGCTGGGGGGGGGGGGGCTGCTGCACCCGGAGGTTTTTTTACCTTCATTCATCCTTGAGCCTTTACAACCACTTTAAAGAATATGTAAACCCAACATTTCATATTGCTGATATGTGCCTGCTGTACTATGTACTTGCATGAAAAAGTCTCCTGTTCTCTTTGTATTGCTTCCTTTGTGTGAAATCCCTGCTGTTCCTGCCAGTCCCCCTGCTTTCCTATTTAAAAACTGACCACACTATGCATGAGAGCACAGCGTGATCAGTGTTCTGGCTGTGCTGGAAACTGAAAAACATCAAAAAGAAGGTGCACCAGTCTAGTGTATTACCTGCTTACACATTTATTTTACCTAAAAGCAAATCGTATACTCGGGAACAGATAGTATTTACAAGGGTTTCAGTAAAATCAATGCCATGACCACCAAATCTGCAGCACTTGACCAACTTCATGGAAAGAAGCCATTTGGGTCCAATATGCAAACGTGTTTCGTGCGGCAGCCCTCTTTGCGCACAGGAGCCGTGCTTTCAGTCTGTTTGTAAGTATATAATTTGCTTGCGTGAACAATAAATAGTAAGAATGTCATGCTCTAGGCAGATATGACCGCTTTTTGTTGTTTTCTTAGTGCTGTGCATGATGGGATACCCGAAGTTCTATGAGGGCTACAAAGCGTGGCAGTGCCCATTCAGTCATGAGTGGAAACCTATTAGTCTGAACATCACATTTAAGTGCAGGAGGTTGTTTCTATTTTTCATTTGTATATACTGAGAACCAGGGGCAGACTGACCATTTGGAAACTCGGGCACTGCCTGAGGGCCCGGGGTCAGTAGGGGGCCCCATGAGAGGCCCCTGGTACCTTTTTCATAGGCTTTTTTGGGTTTGGGCAAGGACGCAGGGGCCCCGTGATCCCCTATTGCCCGGGGGCCCCATGAGTTGTCAGTCCGCCCCTGCTGAGAACTTAACATGCTCTCCTCCAATGATCAAGCTTCTGCTGCCACCTCCCCCTCACAGCCATTCAATGGGAAGACCATTCGTCAAGCTTCTGTTTCTCCTCCCCCAGCTCCTTATGCAGCTGAGAACTGAAAGAATGTGATCACTTAAAAAAAAAAAAAAAAATATCTATACACAAATGTTTGCCTTTCATTTCCATTTTAAACTGAATGGGTTGTTGTCAGGGGCGGACTGACCATTTGGAAACTCGGGCACTGCCCGAGGGCCCGGGGTCAGTAGGGGGCCTCATGAGATGCCCCTGGTACCTTTTTCATAGGCTTTTTTGAGTTTGGGCAAGGACACAGGGGCCTCATGATCCCCTATTGCCCGGCGGCCCCATGAGTTGTCAGTCCGCCCCTGGTTGTTGTATAAGGTGGGGGTTTACATATACGTACTTTAATTACAGCTGCTGTGGCTTAGGGCTGTAATAATCGAATGGATCCTCTAGATGGTGCTAGCATTGCACTGACATGATACCGGTCTTCACCTTCTACTCATTTTAGGGCATGTAAGATCCCTATTAGTTCTGATGTCATTCATAGGCTGACAACACTGCTGTTGTCTTGTAAGGTTTGGACATACAGAGCGAACAATGCTGTTTTACGGTGAATGTTCTTGCAGTATTGACTGCAAAATCTATCCCTGCATAGAGAACTGTCATCATCTTTTACAACCTGGCCGTGTTGACTTTTCATCAAGTATGAGTTTTTCATTTATCAGTGGAAGGTGATGACAATGATCATCTAGTTTTGTTCCCTTCTATGTGTAGTCATAAGAGGATTCTTTTTTTTTTTACAGACTTTGCGAATACCTCTGTCCTCTCTCTGTTAGCACAATACACTGGGATTTCATAACCACTGCAGGCACAGATTACCTAAGCCAGCTCTGCAGAAGTCAAGACCACAAATGCGTTACACACAGTTACAGCAATATCATTCAAGTTTGTTAGTTCTACCAGAAAGTTTTCAAAAGGAACTGTCCAATTCCCCCGTAGTCTTGTTTAATTGGGTCTTTTGGTTTTGCCCTATTTTTAATACTTGACTACAGTAGGGCCAGCATGCATCAGTAGCATTTAAATAGTGTCCCAGGGGCCCTAAAATGTAATTTATATGATAGGTTGTTTGAAACTTTTAAAACATTATTCTTCAGACAGATATTCCAAGTGATATGAACCACTTGTAGGGCAGCACAGTGGCTAAATGGTTAGCACTTCCGCCTGGCAGTACTAGGGTCGTTGGTTCGAATCCCAGACACGGCACCACCTGCTTGGAGTTTGCATGTTCTCCCTGTGGCTGCGCGGGTTTCCTCCGGGTACTCTGGTTTCCTCCCACACTCCAAAGACATGCTGGTAGGTTAATTGGCTCCTGTCTAAATTGGCCCTAGTATGTGTATGTATGAATGTGAGTTAGGGACCTTAGATTGCACGCCCCCTTGAGGGTCAGGGACTGATGTGAATGTACAATATATATGTAAAGCGCTGCGTAAATTGACGGCGCTATATAAATACCTATAATAAATAACTTGCCCTCCAGAGGCTTTACACCCCCCCCTTCCTGACCAGGCCATTTTTTGCGATACGGCGCTGCATTATTTTAACTGACAATTGTGCAGTCATGCAACGCTGCACCCAAATTAAATTTATATCCTTTTTTTCCCACAAATAGAGCTTTCTTTCGGTGGTATTTGATCGACTCTGCTTTTTTAAATAAATTTTATGCTATAAACAAAAAACGACCGACAGTTTTGAAAAAAAAAAAACAATATTTTTCACTTTTTGCTATTAAACATGTTCAGAAAAAAAAATTTTTTAAATCAAATTTCTTCATAGATTTAGACCAAAATGTATTCTGTTACATGTCTTTGCTAACAAAAAAATCCCAATACGTGTAAATTAATTGGTTTGCATGAAAGTTTAGTGTTTACAAATGTCGGTATGTATACTGGAATTTTATATATATATATATATTGCCCGGCGATCAGCGACTTATAGTGGGACTGCGGCGGGCATTCTGACACTGGGTGGAACTGACTAACTGCCATTGACATCCACAGTGACACTAATACAGCGATCAGTGCTAATAAAAAGCACTGACACTGTGCCAATGACACTGGGCAGGAAGGGGTTAACCTTTGGGTGATCAATGGGTTAACTGTGTGCGGTTTTACCTTGGAAACATGCAGTTTTGTATTTCTTTGCTGTGCAGAGGAATACAAAAAAGCATGTCCTTGTGGCAGGAGAGAGACCTGTGTTGTTTACCCACGATGATGATCGCTGGGTGGCGGCAGGGAATCTCTGGCCGGGACCCACTGATTGACATGCCTAGCCACTAATGGCGGCATGGGTAGGGTGGCATGCATGCGCTTCCTACCTGAAAATGCAAATCACGTATATATATACGCGATTTTGCTCAGCCCTGCAGCAGTATTTCTGCTATACGGCAGCGGGCAAGCGGTTAAAAGGCAGATTTTTTTTTTTAAAATAACAAACTTGTCATACTTACCTGCTCTGTGCAGTGGTTTTGCACAGAACCGCCCAAATTCTCCTCTTCTAGGATCTCCCACCCCTCCCTTCTGCTGAGTGCCCCCACAGCAAGCAGCTTGCTATGGGGCACCGAAGCAGGCTCGCTCCTGTGTCCATTCACACACCAGTGTGGCTCGGCCCCGCCCCCTGCTCTCTCCTCATTGGCTCACTGGCTGTGATCGAAAGTAGTTGGAGCCAATGGCTCCTGCTGCTGTCTCAGCCAATGAGGAGGAAGAGTCTCCAGAGAGCAGCTGCTCTTGTCCACATCGCTGGATCACGATGGGGCTCAGGTAAGCATTAGGGCTGCTGCACACAGAAGGTTTTCTTATCTTCATGCATAGAATGTTTACCTTCTGCATACTATCTTACAACCACTTTAAGCTGAGTCAAGTGTGATTTGAAAATTACAATTAGATGTCTGAAAATAAAATCCTTATCCTTTTGTTAAAGCAGGACTCTCCAAACTTTCAAAACAAAGGGACAAACTACTGTCCTTCAGATTTTAGGGGGCTGGACTGAGGCCAGTGGGAGTAGAAAATGCCCTGGTGTCAGTGGGCAAAAGAAAATTAATTAGTGTCTGCGGTCAGTAGTTCAGTAGGAGGAGGAATAGTGTCCCATCATTTGTGTCAGTAGAATTGATAATACCCTATTGTTGTTACTAGTGGGAGGAATAGTGCCCCATCATTGGTGTCAGTGGGAGGAATAGTGCTCCAACGTTGGTGTCAGTGAGGGCAATAGTGCACAATTCTTGGTATCAGTGAGAGCAATAGTGTCCCATAGTTGGTGTCAGTGGAAGGAATAGTGCTCCATCGTTGGTGTAAGCGAGAGTAATAGTGCACCAACCTTGGTATCAGTGGGAGGAATAGTGTCCCATAGTTGGTGTCAGTTGAAGGAATTGTGCCTCATCATTGGTGTCAGTGGGAGAAATAGTGCCTTAAAGGAGAGGTTCACCTTTCATAACATGTTACACCCATATTCAGGGTATAACATGTTATGATCACACCAGCCCCCGCTCCCCCACTTTGACAGCTAGAGGTGGATCTTGTCCCCCCTCACTAGCTTCAAATTTTAAAAAAAACATGGCCGTATGGGGCTCCACCCACCCGGCCGCATCACTCATTCACTGTGTTCTGTGAATGAGAAACAACAAATGTCGACAGCCTTTGTCGGCTTGTAGTTTTCAGTGAACTACCACGGTGCTGTGGAATGCTGTGTTAGTTCGCCGAGTCTTCCTGTCAGTATATCTGTGTCCATCCTGTACTGGCAAGCAGATATACTGACAGGTCTGCAGTTGTTCTGCATGGCACCAGTGATCTGCTGATCGCTGGTGCAATGGTTAACAGGTTCCCCAAACAAAAAATAATACATGCACATTTTTTTAACTGCAAAAAAATGTGCATTTATTATTTTATGTATAAAGGTGGATTTATCCTTTAAGGGTAGGATAAATGCAAGCATAGGGCCACATTCAGCCTGTTGGCTGCTGTTTGGAAACCACTATTTGAAAGCCTTGTGAACTGAGCCTATTGTATATTACTGAGAATTACAGCAACAGTAGTAATCTTGGGTACAGGGTTCACCAGCATCTGGTGCTACGACGATCATTACTGTACATCGATGGAAGACCCAAGTCAACCGATTGCAGATTATTAAGTGAGTCGCAACTCTATTAAAGGATGCCCCTGGTACCTTTTTCTTAGGCTTTTTTGAGTTTGGGCAAGGACACAGGGGCCCCATGATCCCCTATTGCCCAGGGGCCCCATGAGTTGTTAGTCCGCCCCTGATCAGCTGCTTCTTCTTCCAAGTGCCCCCATAGCAAGCCTTGTGCTATGGGGGCACTCATGCGAGGGGCACTCTTTAGCTGGACTGTGTGCTTCCATAGACACACACAGCACAGCTCAGCCACATTCCCTACTCCCTCCTCACAGGATTTGGCTGACCACAGCAAAAGCCTATGGCTCCTGTTGCTCTCAGTAAAGCCTGTGAATCCAGAAAGAGAGGGGAGCAGCGCTGCTCTTGGGGACAGCTCTGGATCATGAGAGATGTCATGAGAGGTGTCAGTTAGGTGTTGGGGGAGGGGGGGCATAAAAAGTAGTGTGACGTTCTTTACCTTAATGCATGGAATGCAGTAAAGAAAAAACATTTTACTTTTATAACCACTTTAAGAAAACTATCACAAAATTTAGCAAACAATGCAAACATAAAGGTTTTCCACTTACACGCCACCCCATAGCAGATGTATTGCTACAGGGCAGCTTCACTGGGCAAAATCACGTAAACATGCATGCATGCCATCCTACCTACGCTGCTATTGGCTCCTGAGGATGTCAATCACCGGGTCCCGGCCGGCAATTTTCAGCAGGGACTCGGTGATCGTCAGTAAAGCTGAGAGGGTAGAGATGTGTATGTAAACAACACAGATCTCTCTTCTGTCAGTATGGATCTTTGTATCTCTACACAGCAGTGATAGGGAAAGCAGCCTGTATCCCTAGTGAAAACAGCACATAGTTTAAGCACAACACACAAGTTAACCCTTTGAGTGTCCCAGATGTTAACCCTTCCTGCCCAGTGCCATTAGTAAGTGTCAGTGCTTTTTATTAGCACTGATCACTGTAGCTATAAAGTCGTTGATCAATCACCGGGTCCTGGCCGGCAATTTTAAGCAGGAACTCGGTGATCATCAGTACAGCTGAGAGGAGAGATCTGTATGTAAACAACGAGATCTCTCTTCTGTCAGCATGGACATTACTGGTATAAAAATAAATATTCCAGTATATATACCGCCATTTGTAGACACTATAACTTTCACATAAAGCAGTTAATATACACTTATTGGGATTTTTGTTAACAAAAGACATGTAGCAGAATACATCTTGGCTTAAATTTATGATGCCAATTTTTTATTGGATATGTTTTATAGCAAAAAGACAAAAATATTTTTTTTTTTCAAAATTGTCAGTCTTTGTTTATAACGCAAAAAATAAAAACTGCAGAGGTGATCAAATAAAACCGAAAGAAAACTATTTGTGGTGGAAAAAAATTACATGAATTTTATTTATGTACAGCATTGCAACAGTGCAATTGTCAGTTAACCTCCTCGGCGGTATGATTCTTTCCGATTTTTTTGTGCTGAAAGCGGTACCATTTTTTTGCATGGAAATATGTAGTTTTTTATTGTAGGCTGTAATTTTTAGGAATAACTCACTGAAATCTATCTGAAAAAGAGTCTATTAAACATTCCGGATATGATAAAACTTGAAACACGAAATCATAAATTATAATTTAATAAATAATCATAAAAAATAATAATATAATAATAATACATTTAATTCAATAATATAATCAAACCAAAAACACTGAAATTTGAAATACAGAGGCAAATTCGCACATCGCTGAGCAAAGTCGCAAAATCGTTTTCAGTGTCTGATGACGAATTTCCCCACAAATCATTATCACTCAATTCTGCAAGTGGTTCTGATTTACTATCGCTGTTCTAAAACCGCTTTTGATGTAAAGGGATGCTTTTTGGCCGCCATGGACTTTTCTAAGTTTCCAGGCAGAAAGAACAGTCAAAATGCAGGCAGGGCACAAGACAAAGCAGTGGGGACAAAATGTATGTGAAATGCAGTGAAAAAGCAATGACAGCAAAAATGTCATTTTTTAAAATTTCAAATTTCCCGCCGGTTCCGCCGCCCGAACGTTCCGACGTCACAGGGACCGGAACACGGAAGCCAGATGCCGGCATCCGCCGAAGGAGATGGACGGGGACGCTGCAGGGGACCCATCGTGGGAGCGAAGGGCAAGGTAAGTGCTGCATGGACCCCCAGAGAACGCTGCATGGTAAGCCCGAGTGTAGCTCGGGGTTACCGTTCTTGGTATAGAAATTCTACCCCGAGCTACACTCGGGAATACCGCCATGGAGGTTAAAGTATCGCAGCGCCATATCACAAAAAAAGGCCTGGTCAGGAAGGGGCCCAGATTAAAAGAGATACATTACCCACAGAAGTGAGTACACTTCTCACATTTTTGTAAATATTTTTATTCTATCTTTTCATGTGACAACACTGAAGAAATGACACTTTGCTACAATGTAAAGTAGTGAGTGTACAGCTGGAGGGCAAGTGGTTTAAGTGAAAATTACATTTTAAAATGATCAGAAGATCCAGAGACCCAGGGGTCACTTTACCAAGAGATAAATATCGCATTCATTTTTGAGTTAAAAGAAACTCATGCGGTGTTTATTTCAAAAGTAGTCAATTCACTATAAAACGGCGTTATTTACCAAATGTATTAAATATTTATGCGTTGCAATATTTATCGTTAAATTTAGCGTTGTTTTTGGTATGGGGTTTTTTTTTGCAATTTTTTTTTTTTTTTTACATAAATACTAACACTGCACCAGAGGAAGAAATACATGCACACAAAAATATTATGAAACTGTGAAAACATTCTAGTGTGCTTTCATTCAAAGAACAATCTCTTGTTTCAATTAATTTTCATTCCTGAGCTCCGGGAAGAACATTTCCACACGGACACATTATATACTTTTTAATTTACTGGCCAGAGCAGCGCTACTTCTCATTGTTAGTATGTATATTGCTAAAATACCGGCTGCCTATTGCCAGATGATAAATAACTGAGTGTGTTCTTTAGCCCTGGTGCACACCAATGCGGCTTTGAAATCGTGCTACTTCAGTGTGAAAGCCACCGATCAGTGAAATTTTGACATACTATTTCATTGAGGCTTGCGATTCCATATAACAGAAGTCAATGCAAGTTGCAATGAAATCACAGAAAAGTAGTGCAGGAACCTTTTTCAAAGTCGCCGTAACTTGAATTGCAACGATTTGAACGGTTCTGTCGCAAATAGGGTGCGACTTGTCATGCGATTTTGAACTGTCAAATTGCATGACAAATCACATTGTTGTGAACCAGGGCTTAGTGAACTAATTTTAATGACTTATCTCTTTATTCTGGTCCCCTTCCTGACCAGGCCATTTTTTGAGATACGGCGCTGCGATACTTTGACAATTGCGCAGTCATGCAATGCTGTACATAAATGAAATGTACCTCACATTTGATATTTTACTTTGATGAATTGACTCTTTTATTATCTCATGTGATATTTGTGAAAAATGGGGCACGTGACCTTTATATTGTATGCAAAATCCTTTGATGAATCAACCCCATAATCAGGTAAAGTTACTTGCAACATTTCAAGTTTTCCTGCAAAAGTTAAGCTTGGCCCTGTTGCCCACCAATGTAACAGTCAGCAACACCGACCAATAGTAAGACAGAAGGGGGTATGACCATGCTCAATTTATATAGCAAAGTTAAGATCTTTAAATTACTAAAGCTATCTACTGTATATCTATTGTTCTAGTTATCATTTGACTTGCAGCTTGGTTTGTCTGAGTTTATCATAGGTGTATTTTGTTTAAAGTAGACCTATAGGCAAAACTTTTTTTTTTTTTTTTTATTTTGGATTGAGCAAAGGATAGTTATAACCCATGTGAAACTCCCCCCCCCCCATCTAAGTCTCATTGCGAAGATTTACTTTCACTTCACAAATTTGTTTGGAGACCCCAAGGTCACCAGCGATAGTGTCCCCATTGTGAGATTTCTCCTCTTCTCTGGGGACAACCCAAAATTTGGGTCTTTGTTTTTATTTTCACTTTCAATGATAATGGTAAACAGGACATATAGAGAGGGTGAATCTACTTAATGGGGGCACAGAGAGCAATCAAAAACCTAACGTGTTCTAATCCTTCTCCACTCCAAAACAAAAAAAGTTTTGCCTTTAATTATAATTTAACTGACTTTTACTGTGTAGTCACCCTGCCTTAAATAGGAGTTACTGTCTTAATTACGACTTGCTAGGTGACCAATAGCCCACTCATTTGGTTGCCTCTAATCTCATTGTTGCTGTTGCTTCTGCCTGCTGCCAGTAGGTCTCGCTACTACCTCTCTCAATAGAGTGAGTATTCACAGTAGCACTAGGTTATGGATATTTAGGTTCCTTCTGGCCAACCACTAGGAGGTTTATTTTCAGTGGTGCATGCTGGGGAGGACATACACATTTGGGGGAGGCAAAATTTAGTGAGCTCTTTTCCCCCCCCAGGTATGGCCTGGGAAGCGTGTATATGCTCGTGTTTCAGCTAAGCTTGTGGCCGAGGAGGTCTGATGCTTGGTGCAAAGACTGGAAGCATGTTAATGGACACTTTCCTATTCACCCTGGCGCTTTCCTATTCAAAAGGCCTCAGAGAGGATGGACGTCTAGATGGTGGAAGTAGATACCTGAACCAAAGGTGAATCGAGTTGCTGGAGATCCTGGGTACAAGGAAGTCAAAGAGAGACTGAAGGTTCATCTGGAGGATCTAGGGTTGCCACCTCATGCCTTTAAAACCAAACAGCAGCAGCTCATTGATCCTCCTATGGTTGCCACCTCATCCCTTTAAAACCAAACAGCAGCAGCAGCCTCATTGACCCTCCTATGGCTTGCCACCTCATCCCTTTAAAACCAAACACATATTTAGTTACACAGCTTCTGAGGCTAATTTAATGCAGATAAGGCACTAAGTGAGTTTATTCACCACCCTTAATCAGCCACAGAACCTGTGTGAATAATATGTGTTTGGGTTTTAAAGGCATGAGGAGGCAACCATAGGAGGATCAATGAGGCTGCTGCTGCTAGAGAAGGTAAAGCATGCTTTTTTTTCAGCTTAACCAGTTCCTGACGCGCTACAGCCAAAAGACTGCAACAGCACGGTCGGCTAGTTCTGGGAGGGCGTCCATAGATGTCCTCCCAGAAGCAAAAGTGGTGATTAAATACCACCAAAAGAAATCTCTATTTGTTTCAAAAAAATTATAAAAATTTAGTTTGGGTACAGTGTTGCATGACCGCACAATTGTCATTCAAAGTATGAGAGCGCTGAAAGCTGGTCTGGGCAGGAAGGGGTTAAAGGCACTTTTTGCCTGTACTGAACTGAAGGGATGGAGTCTGCAACACATTAGGAGTGTCTGAATTCCTTACTCCTCTCTCCCCGTAAATTCTCTTTGTGGAATAAAATCCTTAAAGATGCATTAAATAGAGGACTGAACACTCAGCACTTAGGAGGAACGCAAACCCTGTATTATGGCTACTAAATGACCTAGATATTACTTGACTGAGAAGCTCACATTTGAACAGAAAATACATTTGAGTAACTCTTTGTAAAACCCAGAAAGAATATGGGGTTGATTTACTAAAACTGGAGAGTACAAAATCTGGTGCAGCTCTGCATAGGAACCAATCAGCTTCCAAGTTTTACTGTCAACGCTGAAGTTAGAAGCTAATTTGGCTACCATGCACAGCTGAACGAGATTTTGCATTCTTCAGTTTTACACCCCGGCCACATCGGGTGTGACTTCGCATGCGATTTGCAAATTGTATGCCAAGTCGCACCCTATTATCCGCAATTACAGCAGTCAAATCGGTGCAACTCTGACTTGGTCAGAGCCGCACTGATTTCTAAAGTAGTACATGTACTACTTTTGTTGCGATTGGCATCATGGGAAAGACTGCTGACCTGACAGTTGTGCAGAAAACCATCATTGACACCCTCCATAAGGAGGGAAAGCCTCAAAAGGTAATTGCAAAAGAGTTGGATGTTTCCCAAAGTGCTGTATCAAAGCACATTAATAGAAAGTTATGTGGAAGGAAAAGTGTGGAAGAAAAAGGTGCACAAGCAGCAGGGATGACCGCAGCCTGGAGAGGATTGTCAGGAAAAGGACATTCAAAAGTGTTGGGGACTTTCACAAGGAGTGGACTGAGGCTGGAGTCAGTGCATCAAGAGCCACCACA